TATTTCCTTTTGATTGAAGACTGGCAATATTTATCACAGCGCTCATATTATTAGTACCTGCCTGATATTCAATCGCTTTGCGTGAACGGTTGTAGCACATATTTCGTTCTCAAAGACACATTCAGAACAATCTGACGTATGCCAATCGTCATTTTTTAGAATATCAGTCTTGTGTGTATTCAACGTAAAGGTTTCGTAGAGATTAGGTGGAAATTGTTTTTGATGTGGCATACAGCCAAATAGTTTCAGAGGGTTGAAAGGGCGAATTCAGGTTTAAATTAAAGAATCTCCATATGTGGTTGTTTTCTTGTACCAATAACGTAATTGTTATAACCATAATAATTGAACCACTTTAATAAGACACAATACAATGACGTAGGCATATATCATGTAAGCATTATTAATGCCTAGAGAAAATGAAGCGACCTTTGTTTTCTTAGAGTACACACTACCATTATGACGTCATAAAGGTCTCCAGATGGGATGTCGAAGCTTTGTGACACGGTTGACATGACGTCACCGTACGTGATCGCCAAACGTAACGCCATGTTGATGTTAATATTCTTTCGCGGCAATTCGATCCTCAGAAGAATGTATGGTGTAACGTAGATTCGACACCGATGGCTGACCAATCAGAATGCGGGATTGTGAAATTCTATGGTAAAATATTTTAGAAGCTCCTTTACTTTTCTTTCTTCTGTTATTCTTCTAGTAACACTTTACAACACGATTTACGTATATCACAACCACTGTATCTCCCTACCGGGTACCTCCCGCTTTTAATTTGCAGCCGGGAACAGTTCAGAAAACAACCCTTTTATCATGAGATTGTAAATAATTCTCACATACTAACAAGTGCGTGTTTGATCCAACGGTGTGCCAAGTTATCTATAAGAACATTCATAAGTGTGAGTCCTTTTAGAGTTGATTTTTTTAATAGATTTATATATTTTACTAACGACATTTGTATGTGCTCGTGCATACACCTACATGCTGTTAGTAATTCGATATACCTGCGTCTCATTACATACAGAGTCACTAATCCTACTTCTTATAAGGTCAGTTTACTCTTGAATACACACTGTCACTCAACATAAGAACGCCATGTTAATTGAAATTAGCGTATCCACTCTATTAGGTTAAACTCGAGTTTTGCATATATGAAGAGAGAAGAAAAAACGGATTCTACGTTAGGACCATGAGGTAAAGAGTATTTACAAAGTGTTATTAATACTGGATATATCTACCTAATAGTGTCCATCCCTTTTGTCATAATAATGATCGTGGCCATATGGACAGGTTCATACTTTTGAAATGTTATCATACATTCACCACCACAGCTTCTTCATCGTCAGATGCAATCATTCGTTCACTGGCCTAAAATAAGATGTTATTATTCACTAGTTTACATACACAATTGTGCAAATCATGTATTTATTCAGGGTGATCCATTTTAATCTATAATTATTGCTCGCGTATGTATTGCAAGAGAATATTCACACTGACTATGGTCTACTTAAACACCGCCTCTGCAGAGAACAAGGTGCGAATCATCGTCACTGTGAATGTGCGGCTTTCAGTCACCTGCTTCTGCAATAGTGGGATCTTCTATCAAGCACAGACTACAAAGAATACTTCATGGTTCACATACTGGAATACATATTCTACTCACATTATCACAAAACATTATTCCCACACAGTTCCGTTCAGTACATCGCTTGCTACAGTTTTGTCAATAGGTCCCAGAGACAAATTCTTTAAAGGCATACCCGATAATTGGCACGTGCGTGCCCTGACAATACTACTACTGCCCTGCCATTGTGATTGTACCATGTACATATTGACCTACTTATCGGTATTTTCACAGAGGATATTATCCGAGTGTCCGTGTCGTACTGTTGTTACGATTCAAGTGCAGAAACATTATAACTTCTTCAGCATTGCCGTAAACATAGTACCAAGGATGTTGCCCCTGCACCGTTACCAAATGACTCGCCTGGCAAGTATCGCGGCTGTACATGCGTCTACACTACCTTACCTCTTGCTGTCAGTTGTCAGTCTAGGGGAACCTTTATCATCCTCAGCGTCGTTCGGTTTCAGAAGACGAACAGTAACGATTTGTGAAGAGAAGCCGAAACGTTCGTGTCGAAAGGCGAAGAAAATAAAATGTCGAAAGTAGAGAATTACAGTTTGAACCGTGTAGAGAAAATGTTAGCAGATCGCAATGGACGATGGCACGCGTGATGACGAGATTGAAAGTTTGATGACGTCATAAGAAGAAGATGTATGACATAAAGGATGAGACATTGGAAGAGAAAGTGGCGTAATGGACGCAAAAAAGAAGTGCATTATGCTTTCAGTTAACTCATTTAGTGTAAAGCAATAAATGAAAATAAACGTTGTACGTAAATGGCAATAACATTTATTTAGACCTGATATGCTTTCTCTCAGTTGCTTCTTCAGTTACATCACTTTAAATGGAAAAGGGGCGGTCGGGTAGCCTAGTGGTTAAAGCGTTAGCTCGTTACGCCGAAGACCCGGGTTTGATTCCCGACATAGTACAATGTGTGAAGCCCATTTCGCGTGTCCCCCGCCGTGATATTGCTGGAATATTGCTGAAAGCAGCTTAAAGCCTAACTCACACACTCACTTAAATGGAATAACGTATTTGGAAGTTTACAAGCCCTTAGAGGATTATAGGTTATTTAGTCCCATTATTAAATTAGCAGGTTTGCATATGGGTTGAGGTATTGGAGGTCCTTACTAAAGTTTAGTAACAAACAATCAAATAAATCAAAACATGTACGTATGATGAAAACATTAAACATTCCTGGTAGTAAGAAAACAGTTTGGGCGTGACATGCTAAATATAATCAGTAGCTTATGAACGTAAATTGGCATCAAACAATGTTCATAGAGACTGTTAATCAAAGCAAGAAACTTGTTTTCGTAACCATGCTTAATTAAGTTTGCAAATGCAATCTATCTTTTATGTCTAAATTCGAAATAAAATTTGTTTGGAATAACATTTAAATTACGTGTACATCTCTCAAACGTCAGTTCTGAAGACAATAAAGCATATATAAAGTGTGTCATCTGTTCGTTTATATTGAGATCAGATCATGTTATTCAGTAACAGAAAAAAGTAGCTGGACTAAATTCAAACTGCATGTACACTCGCCCATTATGAGCTGCAGACTCGCCCACTATGACATGATCTCACCAATGGCCTCCTCACAACCACGGTTCAGTTGACGGACCGGGAAGCGAAATACTTCAGTAGAGACGCCTACCATACAGGCAAACATGTTTCACAGGTTCAGTGTTAATGAGTCAAACATGCTTTTCCTTTTCACTCTCACCATAACTCGAGATGAACAGCTGTATAAAACGCCTCACTTTGCTGGCGTGTCGCGGTGAATAGATTGATTGGTACTTTGACAACGTTCCCAGATGTTGTTCACAACTTTGTAACGATAGATAACATATGAGGCCTCTTCTTATAATGATAAGTAGGGTCTCACTGGGTACCGGGAATTGTATACTTGGGGAACTTTGAAAAGAGAAGGAAACAGTAAGCACAGTATTTTGATTCTGTTTATTGATGGAACACAAGTGAACATATATAATATCAAAATAATTGCAAAGATGTTGTACTATTCAAAAAGCAAAAAAGCAAATAAATGTTAAAGTTATCTATGTCAAGGAATGCAGTCTATGAGTGATATATTTTAGAAATTGAGTAAATAATTCTAGACTTACTACATTCGTCACGTGTTATCTTATCTACATAGTTTATACACATAACCCATATACAGAAAACACAGTGTGACATTACAACAATAACAAACATGTGACTATCATAGTCATACAACGTTAATGAACTAAAGTCTCCTTGTTCATGGAGATTACAAGCATGGCCCGAGGCTACGTATGGAATAACCTTTTACACGTGATACTGCTCTGGGTTTACCTAGGTTCACAAAATGTAAAAAGTAGTTTGCGTAGTATGCACAACATAGCCTATTAACGTATTTGGTATTTATCATATACAATATAACTTGATAATAAAATACAACCTTAACACAAATAAACACACCGAATACACAAAAATATGTCTGTACATGTGTAGCGCCAAAGGGGGGTAAAAAAAGCGTCCCTTGTAACAAAGGATGGTGATGCAATATGAACTTAACTACTTATCAACAATGTTTCCATGGTAACGAAGGGAGGTAGTTTATAATAAAATAACTTTGGATGAATCTATCAGCATAGCATGTGATATTTGACATGCCTGATAAAAATATGTAACATTGTTATTACTAGTGTCTAAGTCTATAACTTGAAATATGTCATGGACATTAATTTTACATAATCATCGAACGTCAAATGCAGCTTGTGATATATGCAACATGATTGAAATTTAACGAACAAATATAAATACACTAATACAACCCTAAATAATGCACACACATGACTATGTGGACTGCTTACCTTGAAGGAAACCGTGAGCTCAGTGTTTTGACGTGATTCCGTTATTAATTGAGCGCAACTGATGGTTAGGACTTGGGCATGTCCTCCACATATACCCCACAAGCCTAGAACACAACTAGTTGTCATCAAGTGCCAAGCTCACAGTTTCCATCCACCATGACCAGTTCACATAATATATATTTTATTACAAGGTCTTCTTGCATGCACAGCCCAAAACTATACTTATAAGGTAAAAGCCAGCTTTAACTTATATGTAGAAAAATACTTACTTTAAATCCTGGTGTATGAGTATAGTTGTGTTAATATTAACAGTTCCCATCAGGGGACATTGGGTCACAGTATAGTGTTTAGTTCTGATTGACCGCCAATGCTGTGTCATGTGATCTGTTTGAAACAAAACCATGCATGCAGGAACATACCTTGTTTATTCAAATATCCTGTTAAAATTCAGTGTTGCATTAAAACAACTGATACAAATGCGTACATCGTTGAAGTTGAACAAAACGTTCATCGTTAAATGCTTTGAAACCTACTTGTACAGGAAATATCAGCCAGCTTCAGGTTTCAAAAGTTGAATATCAGTGCGATGGTTTTTTACTTTCCCGATGTACATGTAAACATACAACCTCGTTCAATGCATTAAGTGTCGGCCAAAGTTACTTGTATGATATATTAACTATAGTGAAAGAAACCGTAATTGAGTTTGCTATGATATTATCGTCGTCATGTGCATAAAATGTATCAAACATGAGCCTAATGCTAACAAAGCTCTCATTGAACTAACATAATTGACATTGAAATTGTGTATGTGTAATGTCTGTGCGTCCATAGACCTGAGGTTACAGAAATACGTAAATAAAGAATTTATTTATTACAATTTTAAACCCCAAAACATAGAAATAAATCTTAGGGTTAATGGGCACCTTTTGGGAGTATACGTACAAATACCAATATATAAGTCTACATAATCCGTAAGTTTGTCACTAGAAAGTCACTAAAGTTTCCTGATCTCACTGTATTCCCCATCCGTTCCACGTGACGTGTTGTCAAGAGGCTCGTACGTCCGTGCTCCAATAGAGTCGGACACGTCACATGTCAGAACAGTGGCATCAGTTCCTAAATCTGTTTTGCCAGATTTAATGGTGCAGTATGTCTCTCCTTTAATCTTGGCGTCATATGAGGCGGCATTGAGACTGTCGTATGTCCTCGTTTCTGAGCCAACGTCATCACTGGCCTGTGATCTTTCAGTTTGAGCGTTTGATACATTGGCTGGGTGCAGTTCAGATGTCTTGTGTAGGCGTCTGGACCGAAGGACATTCAAAGCTCGATGTAAACAAGTACATGAAAGACACCTACACATTATCCTATATGACGACATGTTCATGTCAGGTATGATTCTATCTTTGGACTGAAGAACATATTACATTTTTATTTTTGAAAATATTTATCTTTGAATATATTTTGATCTGATCGACTCATTTACCTGTTCCTTCTCCTCCAGACATCAACACCGACGATGACACCTAATGCAACACCAGCCACGAATGTCACTGTCACGGCAACAACCAACTGGCTAGCATTACATCCGTTACATTCTTCTGAATACATAAAGGAAAAGGTCACTCAATGATTAAAGTCAAGTATGTTTTTTTAAAATTTAAAATGAATATTTAGCAAAACTAAGAGTATAAGCATTGTCATTAAGTACAACTTGATCCTGTGTCTGAAATAGTTTGTGACATTTCACAAACCTGTATGTGATGTGCGGCATTTGAGTTTTGTTTGTTTTTATGAACTGCTCGCTTGCATCGATTTAAAACATAGATTAATGTGTAAATAATGAAAATGTACCAATCGCTACAATTCAATAGACATGACTGTTCGTATTTTGTTTAAAATACAGCCATTGTGTTGATCAGTACTACCATATGTAACTTTGTTGTATTTCCTATTATTATCTTCTTTGGACATGTGCAAACTTATGTCAGCAAACAGCTGAGATGTTAAATTTCCTATCATTTGCTTTGAATCATTAAATAAAGCCAGTCGGGACAATAGCAGGTTTTAAAGTGCTAGCCCAATGAGATACCAAGTCTTTTGGTTTGGCGTGGCCATGGAGATCGATCAAAAACGGGAACACTAACGTTAGTGTTTAACACGCGCCTTGAATTGTTTCTGATATATTGACAGTAGCGGGTGACTTCGCTCAGGTGAACACTACCAAGCTGACTGTCATTCATTTCCCGATGAACGTCAGCATGTCACGTGATTACGTTGTTACATACAGAACTACTTTAGTGGAATTCACGTTGTTACATACAGAACTACTTGAGTGGAATTCCTCAATGTTTAAAAATAACACTAAAAATAATTAGGGAAAACTTTGCGCATCATGGAATTTGCTCGCGAGGCACTGTCTTCATCAGCTGATGAACGTCAACAAATACAACTTCATTCCTTAAATGACTGGATGTAACGCGATTTGATAAACACTTGTTGCAGTTTCAGAAAGATTGATGTTCTTTGTCAAAATGTATTGTCAACTTTGAATAGAGATAACGGTATATAGAAAACTGAACAATATCGTTAAATAGATTTTGAAAAAGATGATTACCCCCTTTAAGATAATGACCACTCCGATATATTCTAATGAAACAGCACAGAGTGAATACATTATTTCCCAGGCCTATTGAGGCTAATAACTCAACGATCAGAGTTCTCAAAATACGAAATAAATTCGACAGTGTACAACACAAGAATGTTACTGTTTCAAACACGTACGGCAGTCACAACACATCATGTTCATCACACCTGATTCATTATAAAGTATTGAGGACAATTTGTAAAGAAATAATTTTCTATCTTTCCGAATGAAAACGATGTTGATCGATGTGACTTTTACTGTGTCACTAATTCACTCCTTACCTTGGCAACATCTTTGATAGTGAATTAGTTTTTCAAAATGATTTAAGTTTTAAGGAAACAATATATTCTTGATATGTCGATTTAACCACTTTAAAGCAAATAGATACACACTTTTTCACTGGCGTATTTCCATTAAATGGAACGGCACAATAGTCGGAATCATGCAATCGACTCTGCTTTACACAGAGATTTTGTTTTTTGTCACTTTATTTCCATTAATTAAAAACGTGTAGCGCATCGATTTCATTAGCTATACATCTCCACTGCTCTTCACACTTCGATTCCAACGCTTAACGTTGCATTTCTTTATTTTACATATATTCAATATATATTTTTAACCTAACGTAGGAAACATAACTGAATTCATGCCAGTGTTTTTTTCTTCTCATGTTAATTCTGATCTTAGCCTGTTTTAAACATGTACAAAAAGTATTCTCCTAAATTTGGTCTTTTTACGTTTTGAATACCATCATTAAATAGTAACTCTCCCATACAGGAGACCCACTACGTTCACAGTTGGGTACAATTTCGATATATGAAACATGTCAATGTTTATCTTTATATGTAAACTCTGATCTTAGCCTGTTTTTAACATGTACAGAAACTACTTTCCCCAATTTGTTCTTTTATGTCTGGAATACTATTATTAAATAGTAGCCTTCTCATAAAGGAGAATCACTTAGTTCAGCAATAAGATACAGTTTTGATACATATTTCAATTTATAATGTAAACTACGGTTATCACCTTCTCTGCAGTCTTCACCCATCGACCCTGGCTCACACCCGGAAACACATGTCCCTCGTACGTGATCACATGGCGAGTCTCCTGCACACTGTCTATCAGTACAAGTTTTGCTGCAGTTCTGTCCATAACTTCCACTTGAACAGGCTGTGGAGAAATCACAATGGTCATGAGTATATAACAAAGCGTCTATTCCAACAAAGTGTTATGTTGTTTGCTTGTTATCATTTCTTGAATGTTATTCCACGCTGATAGAAACACAAATGTAGTTTGTGCCATCGCCAAGTATCAAGTAAAACGGGATAGGATAAGCGGTAATATTTTCTACATTGTTTTTGCTTAAATGTAGGAACAAGCTGTCCCACATTGCTCTCAAACGAAAACCATAACCAGACAAAAGAATATCATACAATGGTTAAATAGTAGTTAACACTGTGTTTGATCATAGTTGCCATGAACACATTAAAACATAACAAAAGGTATATACATATGTTGTTGTTTTTTGTTTCACGAAAAAAGGAACGATTCCTTTTGTACGTGTTCTGATCATAAGTCGGTCCCGGAGACAGAATGTATCATTCATAATGAATCTCAGATTTTCTACATTTTTTATTCTTTGAACACATGCTTGGCAATCAAATATTGCATACCTTGACATATGCGTTTGATTCCAGAGGAATGAGTAATTTCAACACAGCAATGATTTTTCTGTAGAGTCAAAGACAGAGCAACTACTGCCAACCCTTTCTTCTGAAAACTATTAAAAACCTTTACTTCTTGACCTCGTTGCCCTGTATTTGCGATCCGTAAGATAAGATCGCCAGCTTAAATTGGTCTCTTACCGACCAAACGTAACTCAAGAGCCAGTACTCCTATTTGTCCAAATGATTTCTCGTGTATGTAGACTTTGAACTACATATTCAAACGTCTCAGGAAATATTTATTTTAATATGACATAGCACCATATTGCGCCTCAACAGTCAATAACTGTAACAGTGCAAATGTTATTTCTTTACTACTCTCCCCAATTTGTTCTTTTATGTCTGGAATACTATCATTAAATAGTAACCCTTTCATAAAGGAGAGTCACTACGTTCAACAATTGGGGACAATTTCGATACCTATTTCAATGCTTTGGTGCGTTCAATATATCATGTAAACTACGGTTTTCACCCTCTCTGCAGTCTTCACCCATCCACCCTGGCTCACACCCAGAAACACATGTCCCTCTTATGTGATCACATGGCGAGTCTCCTGTACACCTCCTGTCAGTACAAGAGTTGCTGCAGTTCTGTCCATAGCTTCCAATTGAGCATGCTGTGGAGAAATGACAATGAGTTTATTACAAAACGTCTATTGTTAAGAACTGTTAAGTTTATTACTCGTCTAAATTATTACATCTTAAATGTTATTAACTCTGGTAGAAACATAAATGTAGTTTGTGCCATCGCCAAGTATGAGAAAAAACAAGATAGCATCAGCAGTAATATTTTCTAAATGGTTATTGCTTAAATGTATGAACAAGCCGTCTCCCATTGCTCACAAACGAAAACAATAACCAGACAAAAGAATATCATACAATGGTTAAATAATGTAGTTGCCATGAACACATTAAAACTTATAAAAGGCATATATATAAATGTGTGTATTGTTTCAAGTAAAAAGAACGATTCCTATTGTACGTGTTCTGATCATAAGTCGGTCTCCGAGTCAGAATGTATCATTCATAATGAATCTCAGATTTTCTACATTTTTTTATTCTTTGAACACATGTTTGGCAATCAAATATTGCATACCTTGACATATGCGTTTGATTCCAGAGGAATGAGTAATTTCAACACAGCAATGATTTATACTTTATACAACCCTTTCTTCTGAAAACTATTAACAACCTTTTACCCTTGACCTCGTTGCTCTGTATTTGTAACCCGTTTTATGTTAAAAAACATGTCGAGCTTAAATTTGTCCCTTATTGACCAAACGTAACTCAAGAGCCAGTACTCCGATTTTTCAAAATGTTTGTCGTGTATATGTAGACTTTGAATTACATATTCAAAGGTCTCAGGAGATAATATGACATAACACCACATAGCGCCCCAACAGTCAATAACTGTAACAGTGCAAATGTTATTATTTTATTCTTTTAGTTTAGCAATACGTCACATGTTTTGGCAGATCTTACTAATTCCATTCATTTCTAACTGGAGACCGCTTTACTGCCTTTGCAGTCGATGTAGGGACTGGGATACCAAAGCGAAATGTCTGTTAAATATATTGAAACAACCCTCTATCGGTCTTTACATCGATAGAGCACCTGAAACATAGTCAAGCAAAGTTATTGCAGTTTAGTTAGTTTGAACGTCTGTTAATGAAAACATGTGTATTTGTATTGCTTTGTGGCATGGCCATGGCAGATACTACCCTCAACGTCGCAACCAGGTCAGCCAAAGCTGTGGACAATCAAGTAAGACGAGTCCTTTGGGTGAACAACTTCTTTATTACAATTAGTACGACGTTTCGGTGTAGATCCTAACACCAAGTGTATATATGTATAAGTTTCACTTGTATGTTCACATACTTTAAAGATTAATATATTGACGTGTTAGATGTTTGCCTGTTAACAGTGAAATTGTTTATTCAGATGCTCACCTTGTCTACAATCTTCACCAATCCATCCTGCCTCACATCCGGAAATACAGGTCCCTCTTACGTGATCACATTGCGAGTCTCCGGCACATCTTCTTTCAATGCAGGAGTTGCTGCATTGCCGTCCGTAGTTGCCATTTGAACAAACTGAAATAAATAATACATAATGTCATGAATATGACCCAGGCATAGTGCAGTGCTTCAGTAGTAAACAGATGGCAGTCGTAAAGGGATGTCGATCTAAACTTGATTCAGGCAGGATCTACATTGCCGGCCGTATTTGCCATTTGAACAAACTGAAATAGATATAACAATGTTATTAAATATGATCCGGGCATAGTTCAGTACTTGTGCATGATATAGTCCTTAAAACTCATATCTGACACAAATATCTAATATTAAATTAAATATGTAAAGGTGTATTACCACGTCCACTTTGTGTACATCTGACCCTTCGCATTTGGGACCCAAGGTTACTCTAGGACGGGATGATTCAGTGGTATGTTGCCATTACGTAGCTGTAATGTTGCTGACTAATGTACAACATGTACAAACATTGACAAACTCATCAATCATATTTGGTGACAATAGCCCAGGACAGCTAATCCCAAGGAATAAATGTTATTGTACACAGTGTCCAACTTTGTCTGCGCCAAGCAAAACTAACATTTCAAGTAGCATTACTTTACAGAACAGCAAAGGGTAAATGTGTTAATGATAATGAGTGGAAAAGGTAAACAGATGGCAATCTTAATGGGATGTCGATATAAACTTCATTCAGGCATGATCTTCACTGCAGTGTTTGCACTGATATTCGTTGAAAGTACCCAGTCTGTAGATAGATTCATAAAACCGCAATGGTATACTACTTTTTCACACTTCGGTTCTTCCGGTTTGAAAGCTAGGCTTGGAGAGCATCGCTGCTTATGTGGAAGCCATTTCGATACTGATTCCTTGACACGGAAGCACCGGATGCTCTCCAAGCCTCGTTTTCGATCCAAGATGGCGAAAGTGTGAAAAAGGTCAATACGCTTGCGGTATTTGGACGTGTATGCCACATGGAGACATAAACAAAATTACCTAGATTACATATTCATATTACTTTCTCATATTCAATTGCACATGACAACACATATGCCCATTAAAATTGGCTTCATCGTACAGTGATGCATGAGACACAGTCTGTCGGAGCAACTTCACCTCTACGCCTCAGCCCGGGAGCCAGTCAACAGTCACATGGAGACACAACGCCGACTTGATTCTCTCGCCTGTATTACACCATTCTCCGTTTTTCCCTGGTCTACAGTCCACAGAACAGACATCACTCATTGAATCTTCTTACCTGTTTCACACTTACATCTAACAGGTGCCATCTGTTATCAGTTGGATAAAAATGTGAGATACTCTGGTGTTTGAATATAAGAACACACTGTACCTTTACCTTATCCGTATTTACAATATATCAATTAGTTTAACAGTAACTAATATGTATTATTACCTTAAATAAGAAACAAATCAATAAGAAAATAATCGATTATTGTGGGGGCTTCACTATTTTATTTAACAGCTTGCTACGTTTAAATGTAACTGGATATGTTGGAGGATGTTACTGTACATTTTACATCAAATTTCTATGTACATGTAAATGTAGGCAATCTGCCCATGTTCACTACGTAGAGTGTTTTGGAAAGCAGCATAATAAAACTTCGGTTGTAACTTCTGGAGGAAATGGTACAACTAGCTGTATACAATATCTTGAATGCAATTAGTTGTACCAAATGAATTCACACACCGTCAAGTTGTATACAACACGGATCTCGCTTGTGATTCACTGCATTACCGCCGGTATCCTGATTACTTGGTTAATTTTCAGTAAACAGTTTGGAAAAGTAAAGTCTGTGCGAGAATTGTAGTCGCACGGACCACAGTTGTTTATTATTGAATTTGCAAACCCATGGTGAAAAAATATAGACTGGATTTAAAAGCAATAAGTGTTAAATGTTGTTCAAAAGTCAGTTTTGCTTACGACAACTCTAAAATGTGGTCACTTTTTATCGTACATAGATAAAATACAGTTGGACGACATGTTTTATTTTGACAGCTTTATGTAAACTGTGAGAAAACAAAATACAGCCTTATGTCACAACATAATGACACACATATATTAGCATTGTACGGTTATGTATAACGTGACACATTCAATGCGAAACGGTACTTGTTTTATGTGGCTAAAGTATATTTTCCGCCATGACGTCAAAACACGAGAGATCTACACGAACAAAGACAAATCGGCATAACTCTGCTGTGTTTAACTGTGAGCCACTGTATCCGCTAGGGCTGGGACGGGTAACTCGGGTACCCGGGTCGGGTGGGTACTGAGTAGGACACGGGTACCCACAGAACTACCCGCACCCGTGGTTAGTCACGGGATATATTGTTAATGACAAAAAATATCTAAAACTCTATGGTTACACTACAAGTCACTATTGTTCGCATTTCTTTCTGACTATGCACCCATTCCTTCTGACCTTTATAGGTTTAAAACTTCAGTGTAGGCATGACCAGATCGTTTTATACGTGTATCTAAATACATTTTACCAGGGCTACGGCTAAACTATTCCCAATCGGACTTTTTACACCAAAGCCTTGAGACATACAGCGGGTATCCGGGTAGGGTCGGGCAATAGCGTGGTGGGTACCCGGGTAGTAAATTTGGACTCGTCCCAGCCCTAGTATCCGTCATGTCCGTGGTGAACATTTGATATGGCTCCACGACAATACATTCTAGTATAGTACCCAAACAGTTCCAACACAGCAACGACATTTATTTAGATTGGCTTCTAAAAAATCCTAAAGAAATAATTCAAATTTCGTAATAGTATAGAAAAATGTCCTGCAAAAATCATGAAAGTATTCTGTAGTCAGCTTAAACAAGATACTTTTAGGTTTTATCAGAATTTACAAGAAACGTTGAAATCGGTACCACGAAAAAACCCAGAATGCTACGCTTGATCAGACCAACAGCTCCCGACTCCTCACCACATCCACAAATGCAGACCCAACCCTCAGAGATCATGACCCGCCTCCTCTCAAGAACAGCAAATGGTCGGCCCCTATTTATACTTGCACCTGATGCAACCTCAATGTTTATCAATGTTCCGCCATTCAAACAATAAAAAACAAATGTAAAACAATAGTTTTGTCCACACTCGTGTATGCAAATAAAAATATAATGTCACGAATTTTCTTCAGGTATACATTCACTTTTAAGTTACGAAATGCAGTGGCATTTTTATTCAACCTATTTATATTCATTTCACATAATGAATATTTCACGAATCTCCATAGGAAATATATAAATGATGCAGTATGTTACATGACGATGTTAATTTCTGTTTTCAAACAAACAGCAGATTAACAAAGTTTCATAAATGGTATGTCAGTTTTGATGAAACAGTTATGGAAAAATGTACTCACTGATGCAGTGAAAAAACATTTTCTGTGTGAAACGACATTCAGGAGATATTCAAAATATAATTCAAGATTGAAACTGTAAACCACTTCATGAAATGAATGTGCTGTCTACTATTTCACCCGCACACCATCACATGACATCACTACCGGTAACCTCCCTTCACAACACTGCCAGTTCACTGATAGCAGTATACGTATGTTTAGAGTAGGTTTTCCCTTGATGCCGGGAACCGCATACATACATACACGATGAAAGGTAAATAATCAGAATCAATATGAAATCAACATGTTCTGTTTGTTTTTATGTTTCCGTTCTAGACTTGATACAAAGTAGAAAGGCAGACCAATACCGACGTCAGTGTGCGTGATTTTGTGTCAGTCATGTAATTTTGTAACATTGTTCAACATGGACGTTCGGTTCAGAGTTTTTACGGCGTTTCGAAAACGAATATAGGGTTAGTGGAGACTTTCACATAGACTGTCGTTTCAAATAAAACTGTGAAAAGCATAATCGGAGAATGAGACCGATTTAAATGTCGAAATTCAAAATTTGTTACAGGGTTGTTTTACTTACCTACCTTTCATTGGTCCTATGTTGATAGGTGACACTTAGGATACCGAAAAGCATAACGTACAGACGTAAATCGGAGTAGCCATTTCTGTTAATACATTGACGTGTAAATATGATATTTTGATACGCGTTTATATTGGCTGCGTGCGCATGAAAACAGAGCATGTTCTATTTCGTCCAACAAGTTGCATACGTCAAAGGTTGGACCGACGTGCCTGTTCACACAATGCAATACATGTAGCAACACTTTGTATACAACTAGTTGTACCATGTGAATGCCTCTTTAGTAATTAAGTTTACATCATTAGATGCCAGATGCCAATATAGGTATGGTACAACTTCTTTCCTTGACATGTATTGTTCTGAAGCGTCCGGCAACTTCACTTTAAGTTTCAATTCCATTTCATTTGATCTTATCACATTTTCATTGTTCATTACATTACAAGGGGATTTCACGTTTAGTTGATTACAAGGGGATTTCACGTTTAGTTGATTGCAAGGTAAGTTTATGTTTAGTTTAGTTTAGTTTAGTCTTCCACTGCGAACCATGTATATTTGATAAGCTCATGTAGGAGTCCGTGGTAGTTTTAGACATTGCGACTGCTAACAAACATACGCTACAGTTATTGAATGTGTTGCTAGATAAATATAGAGGTCAGATAAAAGGTACAGCTTAAAATCAGTTGTCTGCTATCAGCAATTATCCATACCATAAATCTCCACTTCACACAGAATTAGCTTCATGCTGTGTGTGATGGTGAAGTATCTCCCTGTGCCGTCACACGTCACGTCGTACACGCTGTTGTCTGTTTCAGCTGTGTCAGAGGGGAATGTGTAGCAGGTGACGCCGGGTGTAGAGCTGCTGCAGTTACTCAGGGAGAGGACAGCAGTCCTGACCAAATGAGGATCTAAAACAGGCAATGCAATAAATGACATACTGAAGGAGGGTGACAATGTGCTCTTTAACAGTGACAAATGGCATATCAAATGACACTTGGTATCATCCTGTTGTTTAAACATGTGGGAACGTCAAACAAGACCGCGTGACGACATTCAGTTTAAATATGTGAGAAACATTTTAAGTTGTTTTTGATCGGCAGACACTAACATTCTTTGTGATGCATCAACGTAATATCCCAATAAATCAAATAACGCTGCCTGAACTGATACATACATCCTACCCGGTTGTATATCCTGACGTCGTGTATCCTGTACTGCTGGCCAAGGTCCACTGTCCACACAGCTGTAGAGTTCTTAAAAGCAGAGTGAAAACAGGAGTTGTGGTTCACATCCTGGTCCCGGTTCCCATCCACAACTTTGTCTGCAGTCCAGCCTTTATCTGCATAGTCAGTTGGGGACGAAGTTGCTGTCTTGCTGTAGGCAACGTTCCCTTAAATTAAACTTTTAATTAACTTTAACATTGTATTTTATATGTGGGAAAAGTAACTTTTTAAACTTCCTAGGAATTTGATCTTGCTGGTTCCAAGATATCAGTGATATTTGCAAAAAATAGTAAAAAGAATAGAGTACTGATAGAGTCTCACATTCTTGCTAAAGAATCAAAGTTCAAATTTCAAACCACATAAAACAACGAATTACAAAGTATGTGATCACGCAACCGTGTGGATGTCAGTAATTTGATATACAAACTACAGATGGGGTGAGTGTGGTATTACCTAAGAGGGAAAACATGGGATTCAAGACTTTTTTCCTGCACATTGTTACAAAGTGATGCCCCATGTTGAACGGTTAACCTAGAAATCGGTTAATATAGAACTAAAATGCAAAAACAGTAAATAACCACACAAGATCAGTGAATAATTAACAAATTATATTGAAAAACGATAAAGTTTACATTTGCAAGAGGCAATAATACAATGGGTCAAACAAGTGGCCACAGAAATAAAAAAACAGGCCTTAAAATAAGTCAGTACGAATAAACAATGTCGTACGTCTGGAATGTGAAAATGGATCTAGAATTGTGTTGAGAACTGTGGCAGGCATTCAATGTTTTCAGACTGGTATCCCGTCCACACTGGGCAAGTATATATGTGCGACTGAAGTCAGGACGCAAAAGGTCTCGAGTCTCGCTCTTAAACAGACAGCCTTCTAGAGAACTCCTACCTCCTCTGTCCCCTCCCTCTCTCATACACATCTCACGCACGCACCTTAATTATAGCATCGACCCTTTGAGCATCCACATGTTATTGTACAAGAATGGAAACGCTGATCATTGACCAAATAAAAACTGATTCTTGTGCCAAGAACACACCTCTCTGACAGGTTTGCCCATTCCCACCAAGCCATCCAGGATCACAGGCACCGTTGCAGACTCCAGTTGCCTGGTTACAGGGCGGAGAACAGTGGCAGGAGTAGCTGCAGGTGTCTCCAAACCTTCCGCCTTGGCAGGTAGTACCTGTATAATGTACACGTACAACAAACTTAGATCAGGTTAATATAAAATATCAAACTAAATATTTTCTGTAAGAAAGGTCATTGACCGACATAAATGAAGTGCATACTATCAGCTCACAAATTTCTCAGTTCACGTTTCATTATAGAACATTTCTGTTCTTGAAGGTATGCTTGAAATATAACAGATGCCGAACACATTTTATTTTTTGATAATGTGTGGTTGCCATAAGGCGAGTACATTGTTGGATGGTCGAATAACATATTTATTCGGTACACACGAGACGCCCTATCCACTGGACTAACCAGAAGCTCCATCAACGGGACTAACCAGACGCTTCCTTCAGCTACACTAAACAGAGAATCTCTCCACTGAACTAACCAGACGCCCCATCAGCTACAGTTCCCCGAAGAACTAACAAAGGGATCTTTCCTCTGAACTTACCAGATGCTCCATCAGCTACCCTACCCAGACGCTCTATCCACTGGAGTTGCCAGACGCTCCATCAAATACACTACCCAGGCGCTATATCAACTAAACTAACCAGACTCTCCATTAGCTACACTAACCAGACTCTCATAATCCACTAGACTAACCAGATGCTCCATCAGCTATACTAACGAGACGCTCCATCCACTAGGCTAAAAAGACCCTCCATGCAGCAACACCAACAAGACGTTCTATCCACTGGAATAACCAGACGCTCCATCAGCTACTCTACCCTGACGCTCTATCCACTAGACTAACGAGATGCTCCTTCAACTTCACTAACGAGACGCTCCATCCACTAGACTAACCAGGCGCTCCATCAGCTACACTAACCAGGCGCTCCTTCAGCTACACTACCCAGACCCTTCATCAGCTACTCTACCCTGACGCTCTATCCACTAAACTAACGAGATGCTCCTTCAACTACACTAACGAGACGCTCCATCCACTAGACTAACCAGACCCTCCATCAGCTACACTAACCAGACGCTCTATCCACTAGACTAACGAGATGCTCCTTCAACTACACTAACGAGACGCTCCATCCACTAGACTAACCAGGCGCTCCATCAGCTACACTAACCAGGCGCTCCTTCAGCTACACTACCCAGGCCCTTCATCAGCTACTCTACCCTGACGCTCTATCCACTAAACTAACGAGATGCTCCTTCAACTACACTAACCAGACGCTCCATCCACTAGACTAGCCAGACCCTCCATCAGCTACACTAACCAGGCGCTCCTTCAGCTACACTACCCTGACGCCTTACCCACTACACTGACCAGACCCTTCATCAGCTACACTAACCAGACGCTCCATCAACTACACTAACCAGACGATTTATCAACTGGACTAACTAGACGCTCCAACAGCTATACTGGCGAGACGTTCCATCAGCTAAACTTACCAGACGCTCCATCGGCAATACTGACCAGACGATTTATCCAGTAGAGTAACCACTAACCAGACTCTCCATCAGCTACAGTACACCTCTAGACTAACCGGGCGAGTAATCCACTGGATTAATAAGACGCTCCATCAGCTACACTAAACAGACGATCTATCCACTGAACTAACCAGATGCTCCATCAGCTACCCTACCCAGACGCTCTATCCACTGGAGTTGCCAGACGCTCCATCAAATACACTACCCAGGCGCTATATCAACTAAACTAACCAGACTCTCCATTAGCTACACTAACCAGACTCTCGTAATCCACTAGACTAACCAGATGCTCCATCAGCTATACTAACGAGACGCTCCATCCACTAGGCTAAAAAGACCCTCCATGCAGCAACACCAACAAGACGCTCTATCCACTGGAATAACCAGACGCTCCATCAGCTACTCTACCCTGACGCTCTATCCACTTGACTAACGAGATGCTCCTTCAACTACACTAACGAGACGCTCCATCCACTAGACTAACCAGGCGCTCCATCAGCTACACTAACCAGGCGCTCCTTCAGCTACACTACCCAGACCCTTCATCAGCTACTCTACCCTGACGCTCTATCCACTAGACTAACGAGATGCTCCTTCAACTACACTAACCAGACGCTCCATCCACTAGACTAACCAGGCGCTTCATCAGCTACACTAACCAGGCGCTCCTTCAGATACACTACCCTGACGCCTTACCCACTACACTGACCAGACCCTTTATCAGCTACACTAACCAGACGCTCCATCAACTACACTAACCAGACGATTTATCAACTGGACTAACTAGACGCTCCAACAGCTATACTGGCGAGACGCTCCATCAGCTAAACTTACCAGACGCTCCATCGGCAATACTGACCAGACGATTTATCTAGTAGAGTAACCACTAACCAGACTCTCACCAGCTACAGTACACTTCTGGACTAACCGGGCGAGTAATCCACTGGATTAATAAGATGCTCCATCAGCTACACTAAACAGACGATCTATCCACTGAACTAACCAGATGCTCCATCAGCTACCCTACCCAGACGCTCTATCCACTGGAGTAGCCAGGCGCTCCATCACCTACACTACCCAGGCGCTATATCAACTAAACTAACCAGACTCTCCATTAGCTACACTAACCAGACTCTCGTAATCCACTAGACTAACCAGATGCTCCATCAGCTATACTAACGAGACGCTCCATCCACTAGGCTAAAAAGACCCTCCATGCAGCAACACCAACAAGACGCTCTATCCACTGGAATAACCAGACGCTCCATCAGCTACACTAACCAGACGCTCCATCAGCTACAGTTCACCTCTGGACTAACCGGGCGAGTAATCCACTGGATTAATAAGACGCTCCATCAGCTATACTAAACAGACGATCTATCCACTAGACTAACCAGACCCTTCATCAACTACACTAACCAGACGCTTCATCAGCTATACAGACCAGACGCTCCATCAGCTACACTAACCAAACGATTTATGCACTGGACTAACAAGAGGCTCCATCAGCTATACTGACGAGACGCTCCATCAGCTATACTGACCAGATGATTTATCCAGTAGACTAACCACTAACCAGACGCTCCATCAGCTATGCTTCCGAGACGCTCTATCCAGTAGACTAACCAGGTGCTCTATCAGCTGCACTACCAAGACGGTTTATCAGCTACTCTGCCCAGGTGCTCCATCCACTAGACAAACCAGACCCTCCATCAGCTACACTAACCAGAATCTCTTTTCAGTAGACTAACCAGACGCTCCATCAGCTACACTACCAAGACGCTCTGACCATAATTAGACTACCCAAAGGTTCTATCAGCTAAACTACCAAGACGCTCCATCAGCTACTCTACCCAGACGCTCTATCCACAGGACTAACTAGACGCTCAATCCACTAGGCAAAAAAAGATGATCTATCAACTGGTCTAACCTGACGCTATATCAACTACACTAACCAGACGATTTATCCAGTAGACTAACCAGACCCTTCATCAACTACACTAACCAGACGATTTATCCAGTAGACTAACCAGACCCTTCATCAACTACACTAACCAGACGATTTATCCAGTAGACTAACCAGACCCTTCATCAACTACACTAACCAGACGATTTATCCAGTAGACTAACCAGACGCTCCATCAACTATACTAACCAGACGATTTATCCAGTAGACTAACCAGACGCTCCATCAGCTTCACTACCCTGACGCTCTATCCACTAGACTAAGCACACCCTCCTTCAGCTACACTACCCTGATGCTCTATCCACTTAACTAGCCAGATAATCCAATCTGTACATTACCCAGACGCTCTATCCATTGGAATAACCAGATGCTTCAATAGGTACACTACCCTGACAAACGCTCCATCAGCTTCACTGCCCAGACGCTCTATCCGCTGGTTCAACCGGACGCTCTGTCCACTACACCGCAGACGCAGTCTTGTATAACAGACATTCATTGATTATTGTTATTCGAGGAAGTAATACCAAAGAGATGGCTCGTTGCATCACTATGTGCTCCTGTAAGATTATTTTCTTAAATTATTTGAAGCTTAAAGTTAACATGGTAAAGCTTACTCGTTTGTGTTGGCATTTCTCGGGACCGAAATTGTGTAACGGTGTTACAATGTGGTAAGTGAGAACGTATTATAAATAACATACAAGACTGACAACGTGCCTGTTATAAGCTGTATCGTCCAGACCGCCAACACCACGCTCTATCCACTGGACTAACCAGACGCTCTAACCACTGAAGTAGAGAGACGCTCTATCCACGGGACTACTCGGACGCTCTATCCACGGGACTACCCAGACGCTCGATCCGCTTCACGAACCAGACGCTCTACCAGTTACACTAACCAGACGCTCTATCCAATACACTACAAAGACGCTCCATCATCTACACTAACCAGACGCTCCATCAGCTACACTAACCAGACGCTCCATCAGCTACACTATCCAGACGCTCCATCAGCTACACTAACCAGACGCTCCATCAGCTACACTAACCAAACGCTCCATCAGCTACACTAACCAGACGCTCCATCAGCTACACTAACCAGACGCTCCATCAGCTACACTAACCAGACGCTCTACCAGCTACACTAATCATACGCTCTACCAGCTACACTAACCAGACGCTCTACCAGCTAAACTACCCAGGCGCTCTACCAGCTACACTACCCAGGCGCTCCACCAGCTACACTACCCAGACGCTCTACCAGCTACACTAATCAGACGCTCCATCAGCTACACTAATCAGACGCTCTACCAGCTACACTAATCAGACGCTCCACCAGCTACACTACCCAGACGCTCTACCAGCTACACTAATCAGAGGCTCCACCAGCTACACTACCCAGACGCTCTACCAGCTACACTAATCAGACGCTCCACCAGCTACACTACCCAGACGCTCTACCAGCTACACTAATTAGACGCTCTACCAGCTACACTAATCAGACGCTCTACCAGCTACACTACCCAGACGCTCTACCAGCTACACTAATCAGACGCTCCACCAGCTACACTACCAAGACGCTCCATCAGCTACACCACCCAGACGCTCTACCAGCTACACTAATCAGAGGCTCCACCAGCTACACTACCAAGACGCTCCACCAGCTACACTACCCAGACGCTCTACCAGCTACACTAATCAGACGCTCTACCAGCTACACTAATCAGACGCTCTACCAGCTACACTAACCAGACGCTCTACCAGCTACACTACCAAGACGCTCCACCAGTTACACTACCAAGACGCTCTACCAGCCACACTACCAAGACGCTCTACCAGCTACACTACCAAGACGCTCTACCAGCTACACTAACCAGACGCTCCACCAGCTACACTTATCAGACGCTCTACCAGCTACACTACCAAGACGCTCTACCAGCTACACTACCAAGACGCTCCACCAGCTACACTAATCAGACGCTCTACCAGCTACACTACCCAGACGCTCCACCAGCTACACTACCAAGACGCTCTACCAGCTACACTAATCAGACTACCCAGACGCTCCATCAGCTACACTACCCAGTCGCTCCATCAGCTACACTACCAAGACGCTCTACCAACTACACTAATCGGACGCTCCACCAGCTACACTACCCAGACGCTCTACCAGCTACACTAATCAGACGCTTCATAAGCTACACTAACCAGAGCTCTACCCATTCGACGAAACAGACGCTCTATCCACTGCACTACCCAGTCGCTCCATCAGCTACACTACCAAGACGCTCCATCAGCTACACTACCCAGACGCTCTATCAGCTACACTAACGAGACTCTCCATCAGCTACACTAACCAGAGCTCTACCCACTGGACTAATCAGACGCTCAACCAGCTACACAAACCAGACGCTACATCAGCTACACTACCCAGACGTTCTATCCACTGCACTACCAAGACGCTCCATCAGCTACACTACCCAGACGCTCCATCAGCTACACTACCCAGACGTTTCATCAGCTACACTACCCAGACGATCCATCAGCTACACTACCCTGACGCTCCATCAGCTACACTACCCAGACGATCCATCAGCTACACTACCCAGACGTTTCATCAGCTACACTGCCCAGACGCTCCATCAGCTACACTACCCAGACGATCCATCAGCTACACTACCCAGACGCTCCATCAGCTACACTACCCAGACGATCCATCAGCTACACTACCCAGACGCTCCATCAGCTACACTACCCAGACGATCCATCAGCTACACTGCCCAGACGCTCCATCAGCTACACTGCCCGGACGCTCCATCAGCTACACTACCCTGACGCTCCATCAGCTACACTACCCAGACGCTCTACCAGCTACACTAATCAGACGCTTCATAAGCTACACTAACCAGAGCTCTACCCATTCGACGAAACAGACGCTCTATCCACTGCACTACCCAGTCGCTCCATCAGCTACACTACCAAGACGCTCCATCAGCTACACTACCCAGACGCTCTATCAGCTACACTAACGAGACTCTCCATCAGCTACACTAACCAGAGCTCTACCCACTGGACTAATCAGACGCTCAACCAGCTACACAAACCAGACGCTACATCAGCTACACTACCCAGACGTTCTATCCACTGCACTACCAAGACGCTCCATCAGCTACACTACCCAGACGCTCCATCAGCTACACTACCCAGACGTTTCATCAGCTACACTACCCAGACGATCCATCAGCTACACTACCCTGACGCTCCATCAGCTACACTACCCAGACGATCCATCAGCTACACTACCCAGACGTTTCATCAGCTACACTGCCCAGACGCTCCATCAGCTACACTACCCAGACGATCCATCAGCTACACTACCCAGACGCTCCATCAGCTACACTACCCAGACGATCCATCAGCTACACTACCCAGACGCTCCATCAGCTACACTACCCAGACGATCCATCAGCTACACTGCCCAGACGCTCCATCAGCTACACTGCCCGGACGCTCCATCAGCTACACTACCCAGACGATCCATCAGCTACACTACCCAGACGATCCATCAGCTACACTACCCAGACGCTCCATCAGCTACACTGCCCAGACGCTCCATCAGCTACACTACCCAGACGATCCATCAGCTACACTGCCCAGACGCTCCATCAGCTACACTAACCAGACGATCCATCATCACACTACCCAGACGCTCCATCAGCTACACTAACCAGAGCTCTACCCACTGGACTACCCAGACGCTCTATCCACTGGACTACCCAGACGCTCTACCAGCTACACTACCGAGACTCTCCATCAGCTACACTAACCAGAGCTCTACCCACTGGACTAAACAGACGCTCTATCCACTGGACTAATCAGATGCTCAAGCAGCTACACAAACCAGACGCTACATCAGCTACACTACCCAGACGTTCTATCCACTGCACTACCAAGACGCTCCATCAGCTACACTACCCAGACGCTCCATCAGCTACACTACCCAGACGTTTCATCAGCTACACTGCCCAGACGCTCCATCAGCTACACTACCCAGACGATCCATCAGCTACACTACCCTGACGCTCCATCAGCTACACTACCCAGAAGATCCATCAGCTACACTACCCAGACGTTTCATCAGCTACACTGCCCAGACGCTCCATCAGCTACACTACCCAGACGATCCATCAGCTACACTACCCAGACGCTCCATCAGCTACACTACCCAGACGATCCATCAGCTACACTACCCAGACGCTCCATCAGCTACACTACCCAGACGATCCATCAGCTACACTACCCAGACGCTCCATCAGCTACACTGCCCGGACGCTCCATCAGCTACACTACCCAGACGATCCATCAGCTACACTACCCAGACGATCCATCAGCTACACTACCCAGACGCTCCATCAGCTACACTGCCCAGACGCTCCATCAGCTACACTACCCAGACGATCCATCAGCTACACTGCCCAGACGCTCCATCAGCTACACTAACCAGACGATCCATCATCACACTACCCAGACGCTCCATCAGCTACACTAACCAGAGCTCTACCCACTGGACTACCCAGACGCTCTATCCACTGGACTACCCAGACGCTCTACCAGCTACACTACCGAGACTCTCCATCAGCTACACTAACCAGAGCTCTACCCACTGGACTAAACAGACGCTCTATCCACTGGACTAATCAGATGCTCAACCAGCTACACAAACCAGACGCTACATCAGCTACACTACCCAGACGCTCTATCCACTACACTACCCAGACGCTCTATCCACTACACAGCTTGTGTAGACCATCGACCGATATTGAGATAATATATCTTTTATAGGAATCTGTATAATGATGGTGGGGTGAGGTAAAATGAGGTTTAACGTCGAGTTCAAGATTATTGCACTTATATGCAATGTACGTGTGTGTCTGCTTGTACTAGTCCGGACTAATGCCAGTGGTAGCCCACTGAGATAACATGCCACAGTTTAACACTGGACTAACCAGACGAATTATCCACTAGACTAAACAAACGCTCCATCATCTACACTACCCAGACGCTCCATCAGTTACAGTACCCCACTTGACTAACCGGAAGATCTATCCACTGGACTAACCGGAAGATCTATCCACTAGGCTAAACAGACGCTCCATCGTCTACACTACCCAGACGCCTCATCAGCTACAGTACCCCACTTGACTAACCGGAAGATCTATCCACTGGACTAACCAGACGCTCCACCATCTACTCTCCCAGACGCTCCATCAGCTACACTATCCATACGCTCTATCCACTACAGCGTAGACGCAGTCTTGGCGAACAAGACAACAATGTAGTTGACATTTATCCTGACCGAAACTGTGTAACAGTTTACAATAAGGTAAGTAAGAAAGTGTGATGTCCTGGATGAAATAAAGAGAACAACTTACAAAAGCAACATACAATGACTGACAATCTACCTTATAAGCTGTATCGTCCAGGCCGTCATCACCACGCTGACAACCAGAATCCACAAACCCGCCATGTTTCACAACCAGGAAGTTTTTTCCGATTGACTGTATGGCTTGGTAATACTATATATTCGATAAGCGGGAGGCTGCTTACATACAATGAAATCATATTATAAGCATTTATATGACCAGGCGAGTAAACACAGCGAAGGCTCTGAATTCACATTCAAACATGTCGTCTGTATTCGGTCAACACTTCAAAACAAGTAACCGTGAAGTGCTGTAATGGAATTCCGCTTTAAAAACATATCATCACTTCAAGGGTTATTTGTGCATAACGTGGACATGGTATACAGGTTTATTGTCAAGTAACATTTTGTCTGATGCAATGTTATGGCTGCGGGCCTGGTTTGAAGGTAGAAAGTGGCTTTTTAAAATGACGCATGTGCATGTTTCTTTGTCGTGTATCATATCGCAAGGAATGGCCCAATGGCCCAAGGTGTCACTAGTCGGAGCTTATCGTGGGTTCGAATCAAATATTCGACCCTTTTACGATCATCGCATATGGTCCAATGCCCAAGGTGTCACTAGTCGGAGCTTATCGTGGGTTCGAATCCAATATTCGAACCTTTTACGATCATCGTATATGTCAAGGGTTTTCGGTTTTCATAAAATGAGACACTTCCACCTTCGTCAGTACATGATACGACACATTCATGAACACTATGTTATGTTAGTCATATGAATGAGACATACGCACATCAAGTGTCTGTGTGACATAGGAATCAGACACTCTTCCTCGCTGTGTCTCAGTACTAATGAGTCAGAGAAACTTTAAGATAAAAAAAGATACACAAACGACCTTTGTATTACAGTCGTCACATGGAGTCATTGGAGAATATCATGGCAAATGTCGATTAGACAAAATGGAGAGTAGTTCTTTCATATACTTCTTTAATTGTGTGACTGAATGAAAAGCATGACATTAAACATTGTTCCAGTATCCTTGTAACCGAGAGAGGGGATCAACTGGAGTGTGAATGCAGGACTTTCACCAGTGGCATCGCAACAGACAAGGAACAAATTGCAGTACACAAATGTGGATAAAGGTTATTGAAAAGAAACTACACGACTTCCTCCAATTGTTAGCAAAACGTTATAACGGCATGATGTTACAATATAAAGGCAAAGGTTATTTAGGTTCGTTATCAGGTTGAGATACGTATACGTGTACGTTTACGTCAATCAAAATCAACAAATAATACATCTCCCCATGAAGGATGTACATTACACTATCATGTGAATTAGTCTCATTGGATATACTTCCGTGTCACGTCTGTTTAAATGTTACGGATGTATATACTGAAATACAGGGTATTGTAAACAAACCACAACTACAACGGCAGGAAGTAATGGACACAAACAACGAATTAGTTTATAGCTTCATAAATTCATTTTCACTGCACAGGCGTTGGTTTTCGTACACTGTAACACAGTTTCAGTGTAACTAGTTATAGTATTTATAGCTAGGTAGGGTGCAATCTACAAGAGCTCAAGGGCAAATAGTCAATGGAGACACAGCCCTGTCAGGCATCAATATTACAGTTACATCGATTAATATTGATTGGAAACTGTGGCACATTTACCTAAGTTCTTCATAAGGTGAAATTAAATTACTACGAATATAAAACAACCAGGGAGGTGTTAAGTGCGACATAAAGACAAACCAGTGAGAATGTCATAAATATGTGAACAACCAGACAACAATATATAGTCACCAGAGACAACAGTATGTCACGTGTACAGAATTATAAAAAAGGAATCACAGAGGCCACGTCAATGTGCCCCTTTTGGACATATTATGTCATTTATTGAATCTTTGTAATGATAGGGGTGAGGTGAAGTGGGACTTAACGTCATGTATAGGATTGTTGCACTTATATTGCATGTGCGTGTGTGTCTGCTGCCAATTATATTACGCAAGTCCCCTGATTATAACATGCCGCAGTTTAACATGAATACCCAAATCAGACACAGTATACTGACCCTGAGCTTACCAGTCCTTGTTTTAGCCCCTTAATGCCGAGCGTTAGGTACCATCTTTTAACGTCTTGTGGTATGACGCGGTAGGGGATCGAAGCACCAACCTTCCGCTCTCCGTGAAGACGATCTACCATTAGTGAATTGCATGATTACCATGAGTACATCGACAAGGTAGTTGCTTGCTAAATATAATGAGTGTGAGTAATATAAACGTATATAGAGTCAAATCTGCGATCGTAACACAGGCAGACATAGCAGGTATCATATCCATTGGGCAATGGAGCATGTGCTGAATAACAATCAGATACGCCCCTTACAGCTTCCTCTAGGGAAATGTTATCAATACATTAGTCCGGACTGATGCCGATTTATATTATTACCTACTGAGAATACATGAATACCCCACTCAGACACAGTATACTGACTCCGAGCCGACCAGTCCTTGTTTTAGCCCCTTAATGCCGAGGGCCAGACAGGGTAACAACAAGTACCATCTTTTAGCGTCTTTTGGTATGACGCGGCCGGGGATCGAAGTCCGAACCTTCCGCTCTCCGGGCTGACGCTCTACGTCTAGGCCACGGGTGCGGTCGGAAGATGAATAGAGGCGATCACACAGTTCATGGTTCTTGGTGCAATAACCCTATCGTGTGTAAGCATATACTTTGTTCGTTTGTTTGTTGTTTAACGTCGCACTCAGCAATATTCCAGCTATATGACGGCGGTCTGTCAATAATCGAGTCTGGAACAGACAATCCAGTGATTGATATAATGAGTATCGATCAACGCAATTGGGATACGATGACTTGCATCAAGTCAGCGAGACTGACCAACCAATGCCGTTAGTGGCCTTTTATGACAAGCATGAGTTGCTGAAGACCTATGCTACACTGGATCGTCACGGGTCGCAAACATACATACATTAACACGGTGTAGGTTTATTCAGTATTCACCTGATAAAAGAGTAGCCATATTTCAAACAATAACAAAAAGTACAATGATTCTCGTAATACGATGTTTTCACATTCTTCCAACTTCTCAATGCCAATCAAATACTCTACTAATAACTTATGGCGAACATGCCGTCCATGTTTTACACCTCGCGGAACAGATCATGGTTGAGGAATAGGTTTACGAAAAAGGCGTCAGGTTCTTCGCGTTAGTGCAAGTAACGTTCACAATTCATTATAGTAGTTTCACTTTCAAAACCTGCATTGTTTTAGAATTTCAGAGATATTACATTTATTCCCTAGGTGTCTGCAATAATTGAGAAATATAAACTATCGCTTGTGTGGTTTATCCGCATACCTAGGTCAATATTATGCCAATACATTGTAGTTTTAGCTTAATTCAGTCACCGCGAAGAGAAAATAACAAGAATATGTTGTACATTTTTAGTATATTGTCTTGCATTCATAATGTGGAGAAATAGTGATCAGCTGCATCAAATGACACCACCTAATACCAGCTTGCCAAAATAGACATCATAATTGTGTAATCCCCTATTTCGAACTATCACCTATCTCAGAAAACATCGTCTTTGACCGAGATTGAAGAACCCGTAGTCTTCGTCATGATGCTACATCAGAAAGATACAAGGAGTGTCCTACAATAAAACACTGCGCCCATCATGGTTATATGGGATATGAACATTTTGTACATCCTTTGTAATTATGACAATGAATTGCAAACGCTTTATAAACATTTACCCGATTTCAAATAATGACGACTCCCAAAATACAATTCGAAGTCGTCTATGTCGGACAAGTCTAGCTTATGAACAGTGGTTACGGTTGGTATTTCACAACTGTCAAGTCAATTATCTGTACTTTTTCTCCAAATACCGATTGTAATGTCTCGCCCACTTTTGGATGCGATCGTTGCCCAGCTGTATCTGGGGAACAGCTCCCTAGACACGCCGTTCATCCAGCTACGAGCCATGTTCGAATCTCCAGAAATGACGTCACGATAGAACATGTGTTCCCTGGAGATCAAGTTATATTAATGAAGACAAAGCAAGTAGGGCAACTTATATCAGCATGGAGATGTATGGGTCGCATGCCTTATCTAACGGAGTTTTTTTTAGGAAGTGCCAGCTTTGATACTGTCAATATTCACGTTAAAACCATCTTACCATCATCATTACTATGTTATATGACAAACTGTATTATTTTCAATAAACGTTGATCTTAAATTAATCCAACTTAACCATCTGCCAGGGCAACACTTGTAAGCTCAACATTTCTCCACTAACATGCCTCCATTTAAGATGTCTTCCGGCTACAGATATGAATGACGGCGGCAATCATGTGTGATAGGTCTGCAAACATGAATAGAAGAAACGGTATCATGACGAACGAAATTGCAAGGTAGCCAACACTCGTAGATGATGTTCTGCTGTCTGGTGCGCTTGTCTTCTTGCTGATAGTGCTGGTAAGATTGGATGTTTTCACTTGCAACTTGTTTTGGAGATTTGCTTTCTGCTTCAAAACAGCTTGAGATGTCAGTACGTCAAGCCGGTTTTTCGGCTTACAGAAGCATGTGCATTTCTCTCTCACTGTTCTCACAGGTTGTCCATTGTGGTCCAGCCGAACTGTGGTTGCCCTTGAACTTGTAGTTGTGGAGACTGAGAATGTAGAAGACGCAGTAGTGATCGTTGCTGTAGGTGTAGTTGTACGTATTGTGCCAGGATTGGGGTTAGAAATGGTCGTGGTGGCAGCAGCCGTAGTTGGAGGGTTAATGAGTCTGGGCTGCAAAGTAGTTCCTGATACGGCGTCTGTTGTTGGTACAGAACCCGTATCTGTGCTGGTAGGAGTAGACCCGTGAGTGTAGCCCATGGTTGAAGCTGTGGATGGTGTGGAAGCTTGACTAACAACATGAGTGGTCGTTGGAGACTTGGTTGAGGCTTGTGAAGAATCTGGTGTAGTAGCGGTTGAAGTTGTTGTGGGAACATATGCAGATGTTGTTCCGGTGGGTGTACGATACGTTGAAGTGGCAAGTCCAGAAGATGAAGACACTGCTGTAGAAGTGATTGGTGGCTTTGTGCTTGTC